ACTCCCAGTGCTAAACCAAAGCCTATGTATCAAAAAAAGTCCCAAATATTTAGGACAGAAATATTCACTCCACTTGTAAGTGCTCTTTTCCTTCTGGGTTTTCCTCTCAGCTTCCAAAAGCTGCCCCTTAAATGCCACTTGTGAATGGAGAAAATTATGCACTTTCAAATTCTCTCCTGGGGACTGAGGGCTCATATCTCTCCTTCTCACACTGATACTATAATTTCACACTNTTTTTTTTTTTTTTTTTTTTTTTTTTTTTTTTTTTTTTTTTTTTTTTTGCCAGCAGTTGAGCCTTTCCTCGTTGTATATGGCAGGCATGTTTCATTTTCATTAGGGCTTTTATACTTTGAGAGGCCTGATGAGCAGGGAAAGGGAAGTGGCTGGATGGAAGCAGGGCCACCCGAAGGGAAGCAGTCACAGGAGGTGGGGGGGCTCTCCCGTGTCCCAAATAGTGCCACTTTTGTGCTCTGCACTGCTGCCCTCCCTCAGGTGATGCACGGTTTTGCTGCCACTGAAGCTTCCAGTGAGGCCACAGCCTTTACAACTGCTGTGATAAAGCAGTAAGGACACAGAGAGGGAAAAGCTGCTTAAATAAACAGACAAAAAGTGTACCGTGGTACTTGTTGGATGGAAACTAAGCTAACCTATATAGGGGTGAGGCTCTCTGATGTACAATTTGCAGCAGCTAGGAGTTAGTACATTGTATCTGTGTAATGCCATGTCCCAGCTGTGGTTAATCACCACCCAAGAATCAAAACTATCCGAGCTGATCATAATCGAAGAAAAGCTCGCTCATTATTAGTCTTGTCTTTCACCAGGAGAAGGGCAAGACTCGGAACCCTTTGTGGGAGAGAGGAATGCTGCTCACTGCATATTTTAACTTGGCTTAACATGGCTGAATGTTTATCATGTTGAAGAATAGTTTGCTAACTACATGGAAGGTGCTTCTTTCCATGCCTGCTGATGGGGTGAGCTCTCAGGCACTTGAATCGTCCCTACTGGGTTGTGCAATCTGGATCTATTATCTGGGTACTGCCCCGGGACTTCAACTTCTGTGCATTAATTGCTTATGGAACCAGCCATACATAGGAAGAAAAGGGAATTAAAAATTTGTCTGATAAGAGAAAATATAAAAATATAAAATATTCTTTTTATTAAGAGCCACCCCAGACCTATAAAGTTGTTATGTAGCAAAATTCAGCATACACACCTCAGGTGTTGAATACCCAAAGGATACTTCTCTCTGAATGTCTTGCTGATAACAGAACAGCATCAGAAGTATTAAATGGATTCACTGAGCACAACGAAAACAGGTATCTGTAAGTAATGTCCTATAAACTGTGAGTTTCTGAAATGCAGCTCATACTGTGAGGATGCAATCAAACTTCCTTTATATGAAACCTTCATGTACTGTCCCAATTCTTTTCCTTCTTCATTCCCACCTTCCTGCCCCTTGGCATTCATTCACACTGGCATTATTAGAGTTGTCTCTGAAGCTGGCCCAAGAAGTCCTACATATTATTTACATCACAACGGAGCCTGGGGGAAGGGCTGGGGGTCTGTTGTGCCAGCTGCTATTCAGCCTTTAAGTACCAAGGTAGTCTCTGGCCCAGAGAGATTTCTATATTGAATTTTAACAGGTAGACCAGAGGGAGATGATTGTTTCCCTCATGCTTCAGATTCAATTCAAGTTACTGTGAGTAGCAGTCTTTAGGAAAACCTCCTCTTCTCTTATAGGAGTAACAGCACAAAGCTGCCAAATTGAGATACCCTGAAATCATCCCTAGCTGGTGGTGCAGAAACCACAGCAGTCAACCAGTGGCATGTAACACACACCAGAAAGGAATAAAGAGAACGCGGAGATTTCACAAATTTATTGGAAGTCCAGCCTAATGCTCCTATTCAGAGCATGTGTGTATTTCCACCTCAAAAGGAGAGAAAACAATTCCTGCAAGTCCCTCAGAATAAATCAGATTTTAAAAATCTTTTCACTGGGAAAAAAAACCCAAAAAACAAAACAAAACCAAAACCAAACTAAAAACCTTTAAACCATTTAAGGCCACCTTAGAAAGTCACTCTGTAAGTATACAAAACACTGGAGACCATCATATGCAAATCTGAGCTTAACAAAACACACAGCATTACCAAGTGTAATTATACAGTCCAGCTATTAGTAGCTTTACCTCTGGCTGTTCTCCATCCTGCTTTCAAACTACATCCTTTCCTTTCATCTTATTCTACACCACATGAAACAGGTGAGCTGTTCCTTTTATATAGCTCAGGGCTCCAGTCACATGGCTTTCAAAGCTTGGTATCTTCATTTAATCAGTTAAAAGAATCGAAATAATCAGAGATCTTTCATGGACTCCATGCCAAATTTTAATTCTGTTAAGCATTCAAAGCTTACCAAATAAAAAAAATCAAGAAAAAATTAATTAATTTTTCCTAGGAATATCTACTTTGAAAAGCTGCCCTGGAGGGTACATTTGTAGTTTAGAATATCTTTCACAAATCACCCATATATCACTGCTAGCAAGTTGCACAAAAAGACATCTCCAATGCTTTTTATTGTCAAGGCAACACTGTGGTTTCTGCATCCCATTTGTTCATGCATAGATAGTAACAGCATCTACTTTTTATCTGATCCATTTGAATTTTTATCTTGACTTCAACCAAGACTGATTTCTTACAAGAGAGTGCAAATTGTTTAGGGTTATCTTCACCAGTAACAACTTCTGACAGCAAAGAGATGGCGATACTAGACCTAAAATGTCTGTGTTTGTTACCTTGGATTAGATGTCAGTGCTAAAGACTTAAACTGGGTAGAGCATTAATTTTCAGGATTGGGGTCCTTGAATGTGTGGGTGAGAATCAGTGGATTATTTTTAAGGGTCTGTGAAAGGTAACTCAGATAAGGCAAACTCATGACAATGGGTTTAAATTGGCTTGAAAGGAGCCTGAAGTGCCCCACAAATATGCTGTGGGGATTGCAAACTGGAAAAGATTACATCCCCGGGGGCTATGCTATCTGCTCTGATTTAAGAGTTTGGGTCCTTGTTATCTGTTGTGCCATTCTTTTTCCAGTGCAAGATTAACCCCACATTCTTTCATAGGGGTCCTCTTTCCACCTAGGCCATCTGACCCCAGAGAGTGCAAATATTGCCCCTTCAGGCAAACAGCAATTCTCTTTTCTCTTTCTCTCTACCATATGCTTTTCTTTACAGCATCAGCTGATATGTTGCTGGTGGGTAAGTGACTATCATGACACATCACAGGTCCCAGGCCTCTGAGAAACTGCAATACTACCTTGTAGATAAGTCAAGTATTTCCTGACCTTCCTATATTCCCAGGAACAAACCCAGGCATTTGTTTGGAGATGTGTGTTGGTTTTAGCAGTGAAGGAGCATTAAGATGTCTGTTAGTATGAAAATAAATACAATGTGTGTGCATGTTTGGTTGTTAAGTCAAATAACTGTATTTTTAAACAGAGATGTACATGGTGATAGTTTTGCTGAGAGTCCATCTGGTCTGTGGAGTTCACCTCCTGACATGGACACTGCTGTTGTGTTTGTTTGCTAAAGACCTCTGAAGAGCAGCTGATCCAACCTCTTGCTTCAGGCAGAGTAGACTTTAAAATTAAGGCTTACACAGCCTTACACTCAAGGCTGTCTAAGTCAAGCTTTGGAAATTCCATCCTCTGCACAGACTTTGCAATGGTGAAATTTTTGTTTTCATGATATTTTTCTCCCTTTGTATCTCAACAAGATTTCTCTGGTGACAGCTTGTGCCTATCACCTCTCCCTGTGCACCTCCAAGCAGAGCCTGACCCTGCCTTCCCCAAACTCTCCCATTTGGGAGTTGCAGACTGCAGGATGATCCCCCTTCATCCATCTCTTCTGCAGGCTGAATGGGTCCAGCTCTCTCTGCCTTCCCTCCTCCACCCTGTGCTCCAGCCCCCTCACCATCTTGGTGCCCCTCCACCGGACTTGCTCCATGATGCCCATGCCTGCCTTATACCGAGGAGCCAAGGTGGGCAACAGCATTCCCAATTCAAGCTCATAAGCACTGATAATGTAAGAATAATCACTTCCTCCAACCTGCTGGCTACATACTTTCTGCAAGAGCCCCGTGTGTGGGGTTGAGTCACAAGGAACAGGTGGAGGTAAGCATGGGTTAAGGATGGATATGCTGTAGGGCAGCAAGGTAACGCTGCTGCACACACTCCCATCACAAGTAGGACGGCATGGTTTCGGCAAACAGGGTGTCTACTCACAGCTTTGTGCCCCACCCTGCTGCTCAGACAGACAAATGCTGGTGAATCACTATAATTCAAAAAGAGTGTAGTTTGCTTTCAATTGCAACAGCTGTGAGCTGCAGTGCTCAGATGATTCACAAAGGGTTTAGCCTTCCAGGCCCAGGGGCTGGGGAGGCCACTGGTTGCAATGCCAGACATTGCAACCTCATCCGTGTTCGAGGGGTCTGAGATGCGCTGAGGGAGTTGGTGGGATCTGAATTTAAACCACAGTGGTTATTCCTTTCTGTCCTTTTCTGTTCCTCTACATTCACTATAGAAGCTGACAGGGAGGGGTTTACTGTTTCATTTGCTATTTTGTTATTGGATTTGGCTGGAGAATTATTGTGGAGAATTGTGTGGATGGGAGGTCTCCCTCTATTCCTTGTTCAACTTGGGAACTGTGGCAAGGTCACCAAAGAGTGGGCAAATTTCTTTGTCAAGTCGTAGACTGATTTCATATGAGTCATGAGAAGGTCTCCAACCTTAATGCTACCACCACCAACAGTATTACAAGAGCTATAAACTATTTGGCAAAGGAAACTGGCAGTTTTGTAACCAAAATCCAATTTTGCAGGATAGTTATCTTTGTGCCTTTTTTTGGATACTGTTTTGCTGTTGTGAAAAGCAATACATATGGAGGCCCATGAGAGCCTAAGGCTATTGTTGATGCCATCTTGACTCATTCTTGGCACTCCTTTACCTTCCTTTGATAGCTCAGCTGGTAGAGCCGAGGACTGTAGGCTGTCTCTGAAAAGTAATCCTTAGGTCGCTGGTTCAACTCCGGCTCAAAGGAAAGATTTTTGAGGTTTGTTCTCAGTTTTGTGTTCCACCTTTTTCCCAGAGTTTACAGCTTTGCAGAACATCCCCTTCCAACCACTCTATACCCTGTGAGAATTTTAGTCTGTTTTCCTTATCTGATTTAGATGGTTGTTAGAGCTGTGGTGCTGTGACCATTGTCACCACTCTATGAACCATTCATTCAGGATTTGGACTCAGTGGTCCTTGTGAGTCCCTTCCTACTCAGAATATTCAGTGAAATCTAGCTAATCAGTTGATGGCCATCATAAGAGATTCCGTTCCTGCAGGGGCTCAAAACCTACATACCCTCAAGAACTGGAGCAGACACATGGTGCAGAACTTGCAAAGCCTCTTTTACCTGACTGGAGTGTGGAAAATGGGGTCAGGTCCAGCTATTGGAGCACCCTTGTTGCTGTTTTCACCCCTTTTCTTATCTCATTCTTTTACCTTGAATTTCTGAGGCTTTGAGTGGGGCAGTGGGGAGCTAAGAGAGGGGAAGAAAAATGGGAACACTAGGATCACTCAGGTCCTGATACCCGTCTGAGACAGTGGCTACATGTGACAATAATCATCAGCCTCCTGAAAGGGTTGTGAATACCACTGGGCATGCTATCCTGAGGTATATAATTTCCAAGAACTGTCCATTTCAGTGGAGAATTGTAAAGGTTGATGCTGGTACAAAGGAAATGGTTAAGAAAGAGCACCAGAGGCCAGGTTAAGAAGGAATTTTAAGGAGTCATTCATACAGAAACTCTCAGAGATTAGAAAACAGGACACTGCTACCTGTTAAAATTTTGTTTCACACAGGAAACTGACTCACTTTCACAAGACACAATGAGTTCTGAGATGTCTGTAAGAAGCTTTATTAAAGAAAAGATTAGAGGGTTTTATATGTTTACATTAGACAAGATGACATTAGGGATCTAAATCCCAAAGCTCATGCAAAGCTTCTCATGCAAAGCAACTCCTCATGCAAAGTGCAGTACTAAGCTGAACAAAGGTAGAAGAGATGGCAATTTTGTTCAGTTGCTTACCTTTCATTGTGCCTAGTAAAAAATATTTGCTAGTAGTTGGAGCCAAATACATCAAGAAACCAGCTAGAATGAATAATCAAGCAATTATATGTAATTCCAATATTCTAAAAGGTTTTGTTTTTTTTTTTTTTATTAATTAGCGTCAGATCAATGACCATCAATCACAGTACAACACTGGTTTTCTTTGTCCTTCCAAATCCAGCTGCATTAATTCTCCTTCAGCTTGCAAAGCAGTACAGACTTACAGCCTCATGACCACAATGGGTTTTTGGCACAGGGAGGCACAGGACAGGAGGAGGCAGTTCTGCCTCTCCTCCCAAGGACAAAACTGCTCACCAGGTCCTGGGGGTGGGGTGGGCAGGTCATTCCTTTATTCCGTCATAGGTCCTCCTATAGCGGGATGGGGCTGTAAAAGCAGGGGTGAGAGAGGCAAGCAGATTCCTTTGCAGTCCTGCTAGGACTCCTAGGGAGGAGGATACACAGCATTGTTTGCAGTGGGAATCTGGCAGGTAGTTTATATGAGGAGGCAGAGAGGGGTATGAGCCTGGGTGATGCCACAGGAGGAACTCGGGTATATTTTTAACTAACCTTGATTAGAAATCTGTCCCAAGGCACCTGGGACAGATTCTCTCCTTACAATGTGCCTTTTATGGTCTTGGTGAGCAAAGAAGGAACCTTTCCATGATTCATGCCTTTAATTGCTACAATAAGCCTGAAAGCTGCCAATAATCATGCCATAGAAATCCTTGTACTCATATAAGGGAAGAGACCAATGCTTTTCCTGAGACTGAGGAATGGCAGTGACTGATGGGCAGTCAGGCTGCCTCACAGGTATTTTGTTGATGTGCAGATCTTTCCTGACTTAGTATTTCAGTCTGGTGTGCACAAGGTATGATTGAAACAGGAATGAAGGGAGAAAGGATTAGTTAGAAGCAGATTTTCATTGCAAATGGTGTTCCTTTCGTGGTTGAAGAGGGCAAATTGTTCCAGTATGGATTCACCTGCATATTGCTGCACACCAGTGGATAGCTGAGGCCTGTGGAGAATAGCACCTGATGTGGTCAGCTTCTGTTATCCCATGGCTGTTCCATTGCCTGGTGTTTCAGCTGCCAGGGCTGCCCCCCACACAGATGCAGTGACAACACTCACTGTCTCTTTCTCTTCAATAACATTCATGCAAGGTAAGTTCCAGCAATTGTAGCCATCAAGCCAGAAATGTGAATTTAAATAAAGTTCTGGTATTTTTCTCACATGTGCGGTGGGAAGCATTTAAAAATTGTTTTGTCTTTTTTGATTATGAGCTTCAGCTTTTCCTTTAATCTTGACCCAAACACCTCTGATTCATCAGACATTGTGAAGGTTGCTGTGTCCTTGTCCGAGGAATGGCACTCCACAGGTCAAACCTCTGAAACAAAGATGTAACCAGCTGGGGACATGATAGACCAGCAGTAGTACACTCCCATTAGACAAGTTAGTGTTTGTTATCAGTGGGATGAGTGGGACTTTCCTTTCCTAAACACTTTTCTCCGTGTCTTCTTGTCCCTAATCAAACCTTTAACCTATCACCTAGTTTAGAAGCAGGGCACCCACACTGCGTAGTGAAGAAATTGAAGCTCACACAGTTGGCATAAACATGTTGCAAAATACCTGTACTTTCTCCCCCGAGGAAGGAGCAATGCTGGCACTCCCTGCCCCAGGACAGCTTGGTGAGTTTGGTCCAGTTGTCTGCACCCACAATTCTTCTTACATGGGTGTTTTGCATTTTCGCTAAGCAGGGTTTCATGGTTTATGACTGGTCTCCTCTGTGCTCATCCCTAAAGTGACTTTTTGTTAAAAATTAAAAAGGCAGTTTTGGCACTGGCATAACTGCAGGTTCTCGGTTGTACTGGAATCAAATGACTTTGTGCGTCTTGAGCTTTGTTTCGGTTTTCCCATACAAATGAATCCCAGCTTCTCTCTAGACACCTGTTTTCACCTGGTTGAACCAAAGCTTGTTGAGGGGATTGCTTATTCAGACACAATGTGAAACTACTGAGCAAAGCAGGGTCTGCCTAGGGAAATTTGATTAACCTTAAAGAAATTTCAGAGGATGCTGGGTAGTTTCCAAATTTTGGATGTGAACTGCATACTCTGGTATCAGGTTTCAGACCAGAAATGTAGCACTGCATCAGTGATAGGACTGAAGCCTTAATTTTGTCCTGAGCCCACTGCTTTCCTTTGAGGTCTGCAACATTTTTCTGCTGTCATTGCTCACTTGTAGCCACCTGTTGCCTCTGGTCATGCAGATTTAGATAAAGCTCTCTGTACAGGGTCATATCTTTGTAAAGTTTTTTATTATGGCAAAGAAAACACAGTCCTGATTCCTGTCTGGAATAATAATATAAATCAATAGCAACAACTGCACAATTCTCTTACAGCTCTAGAGGTAGAATCATGGCAATTAAAGTAATGTGCAATTAAGGAGAGCTTGAAAAAGCTTTTAAATTCAGGAAGCAAGTCAAGATGCTTTGCTGATGATTTGCTAGTTTGTAGAAATTGCAAGTGGTTGCAAATTGGTTTGCTTTTACCACCAAGTAAAACTCTCCTCCAGTGTGTATTTAGCTGAATTTATGAAAAGCATCTCATCGTGGCTGGAAATGACCAACAGTAGTTTCTTCCTTTACTTGCATCCACCATACCACATAGATTTACAGCAAACTAAGCAACTGTTTGCACATTTCTTCAGGCCTTCTTAACCGCCCTCTAACAATTTTTCTTTTTCCTATTGTCGTTGTTATAATCAGGCCTTGATAGGAATTGCTGCCAGAGACACCCAATCAGTCCCATGCTATCATCTGGATATGATTAGAGTTCTCAGGACAGATTGAAGCCATTTGATAGCATTGATTACTTCCTTATTTCAGGTTCAGCCATTTTACCATTTACTGATTTAAAATTCTTGCCTCATTTAAGAGGGTACATTTTTTTTACATTGTAAATAACAAAATCTATTCTGTTGTGTGAGTCCAAATAAGCTTTGAAGTTTGTGGCTTTGCAATTTGAAAGTCATCTGGAGAGTGTATGCTTTCTTGTCATCTTTAATCAATGCACTATAATCAATTATCATATCAAAGTGTTCAATTACTCCTTAGTGCAGAGGTGCTGTAGCTATTTGGCCTAATTTCCTAGAAGATTCTCAGCATTCTCCCTGCAGCACTAGGATTACTTACCTGACTACTTAAAGATGTCTGCTGTGAAAATGAAGCTGGTGCTACTAGAACATCAGCCTCCTCATAGAAAGCAGTGCCAGGTGATTCTTCAGCACTGCAAAGCAATTCTGTCTGTCCAGTTTGTGAGCTGGGTGCACTGTGTTGCTGCCAGTTCCTAAGAAGAGAGTCTTTGTCTGTATATCTGTGCTTTTATGCTAAGAATTCTGGCCCCTTCTTTTTCTTTTTTTTCTGAATATCAAGACGTTTTAACATTCCCTTTTCCAGCAGTATACTACCCTTCCATTTCTCAGGAACTATGGGAAGAAAGTTACTGCTGACTGTTGGGTCCATGAGTTGCATATTTATTTGAAGGCTGAAGAAAATAAATTGTGAGGTTTTGGTTTTGGTTTTGTTTGGTGGTTTTTTGGGGGTTTTTTAGTTTGGGTTTTTTTTTTTTTTTGGTTGGTTTTTTTTTTTTTTTTTTTTTTTTTTTTCATGATTGCTTCTAAGTCCCTCAAACCTTACAGAAGCTTGAGAAGATCTGTATTTGTGAATTAAGGATCTCTTAAAACTCAGAGTTGAGAGGTTGGTCTTCCATATTGCCTTTTTTTATGAGTATGTGGAGCTAAAAAATACACTGATAATTTTATGCCAGTATAAGGTTTTTTTAGGGAGATAACTATGTTTTGAATTCCACACAAACTTTAGTGTATCCATCCTTACATCCCTCTGTTACAGAATAGATTTGGTGACATGGAGAGGTACCTATGCCT